ACTTACCGTTTCATTAAAAGGAATAAAAAAAATAAGGTAAAAAGCTTAAAGGTACAATACCTTAATGTCTGAGATTATGCAACATTTTCTCGTCAATGGATTACCAAATCTTGATGCATTTTACCCACAGGAAAAAAAAACCAATGCATCAATGAATAATGACAACCCAAATAAAGACTATAATAATTTTTTGCGGTTCACAAAAATTAGTTTTCGACCAATCAGATTGTTTAATGACTCGAAAAAGTTCTTTTACTGACTCGGGTAACCGAGATCATCATCTACGGTTTCAAAAACCATTTCTTCTCAAAATTTTTATAATTTAAACAATTATATGGTTATAATAGTACAGAATAAACCTAAATTAAGTCAAGCACTTATTTGTGAACTTTTTTTATATTTGTTTGTTGAATGGTTGAATAGGAATTATTATTATTTGAAATAAAATCGAGTATTTTACTGCGCCAAAACATTTGCACGTGGCATCGTACAAAATGTATATTTATATAACTAAATGGGATCAAAAACAGTCGACTATTTTGGCCTACAATAAATTTGATTATCTTTCGTAACCCCATCTTTGTTTATTTCTAACGAATCTAATAAAATATGGCTTACTTTTTAATATTTTTTTAACAAAGAAAAAAACTTCGAATCGATATATAGGAGTAAAGGAAAGCAAATAAAATAAAAAATTAATGAATTCATATTTATTCAATTGGCCAAAACGTCAATATGCCCTTTTTTGAACTCTTTTTTATTTTTTTTTTAATGATTTCAAATTTAGCTTCCGATTGAAACTTAATTATATTACTTTTCTTATTTACGATTAAAAAGTTCTTTGTTTCTCAAAAATTCAAGGCAATGATTTACAAGAAGTTTCCAGCCCACAATGACAAAGAACAATCTCATGATAATTTGTAAAAAAACCCACACATCAAAATCTACGAATGATTTACAAAAAAAATCAATATATTTGGAAGTTTAAATATATTTACGCTTGCACCTTATCTATCTTCAATGATAATATATTATAATATATTACCTGAGAAAAAAAAGCACATAATTAAGCGATGTAAATATTTTAAATCTTTATAAAAACCCAAGAAAACCGCTCATTGTGTCGACATTGCGACATTCTAAGAAATATGGAATTGACTACCCTCTCATTCATGTAACTTCCTTTTATAACAATTATAACCATTTTAATTCACAAACATTATGAAAGCAAATAAATACTTGCAAATACGAATGAATGGTTGGTAGTACAATTCATAAGAACTATATGATTTTGTATGTCAAATACCAAGAATTCAATCCAATGGAAACAATTCTTTACTGGTTTTAACGAAAAAACTGGTTACCAAATACTCAATATTTTTTTAAATTCTTGCAAAATTCAAAAGCAGGCATAATTTGTTACGTGATAAATCGCGTGAAAAGTGTTAATTCGTTTTGCAGCCTTTTCATGATAATCAAATTTTGATTTAAACTCTGGAAAATTGAAAAGCAAGAGAATATATTGGTTTGTTGGATGGGGATTGTACATTAAAAAAAATTCTCAAATCTATGTTCAAACATATGAAGGGCATTAATATCCTTTAACTTAAAATTCAAAATGAATTAGTTATTAGATAATTGATTTATTTCCCTTTACACACACAAATGTATTTAATTTAATAGATAATTTCTTCTATTAATTCCTTAAGATTTTTCTCCATTTTTTTCATTTTATTATGTAATATACCAAATGAAATTTTACGCAAATATAAGATAAATAAATTAAAGTTTTATATACCGGATGTCCGGATATCAGTTTTAACTACATCCATAAATTATATGAAATTATGATTACACTCGATTATAAATAAATTTCAATACTTATGACGACTGAGCGTTACAAATCATATGATATACCGATCACCTGAAAAATGTGCCAGTCAAGAAAAATGCCGCAGTTTGCTAACAACGAATTAGAATCAAAAAAATAATCGTATAAATTTAGTAGCATAAAAGCTTTATCATGAAATTCCGGACCTGAACTTTGTATTTATCCAATATATTGCAAATAAAACATCGTTCCATTTAATTTTCGCGTGGGAAGCTCGGAAAAATATAATCCACAGTCAAAGTATAGAAACGTCACGAATAGCCTTTTCAGTGGTATCATGTGATTTTGTATCTAAGATCTATTAATAAATCTGTTGAGTTTTTTTTACCGGACGTTCGTTTTATCCGAAAGTTCTGACATAATCTTCATTACGCAGCTTAAAAAAGTTTACATACGATTAGTATGTTATATTTTTGTGATGTTAGAGTGAAAAGAGAATGGAAGTTTGATCGATTAAATCTATATCAATTCACTTTAGCATTGGCTTAAGCATTCGCTACCTCCTGAATTAATAACCAATTTTTTAAGGAGTTGCTGTTGATCAGATATTCGTGATGAGATAAGTTAGAGGCAGGTCCCACAATATGTAATTTCCAATTCCAAAATTTGATTCTTAGATCCACTACAAATCGTATAAAATAGAGTGCACTAGTTAGAGATTATTTATCCGCCTTGTGAAAGTAAAGCGAAAATCAAACGAAAAAATTCAAACCGATCAAACTTACCATTATTCACATCATCAAATATCATTAAACAAACTAAGAGCATATTTCACAAAGTAATAATAATGTATGTTGATTTTATTGCTCGGTTAGCTTCTTGAAATATGTCATCACGATGCTAATTAAAATTTCCTGTTTGATAGATGTTCAAAGTCAAAACGAACATATTGCCATTCTAGATCTTTTAACACATTGATATGTGATCGCCATCACGTGTCTCATTGACGCAGTTCTCGTATATCACTTGATTTTAATCACATGCCACGAATCTGGCACAGTATATCTCGAAAAATAATGGAATAAGTATTCTGCTACAAAGAACTGTTTAACAAATACTGCGAAAGTCACATATAACGGTAAGGGTGAAACAAAAATATTGCCGCACAATTGTATTGTTTATTTTTCTGTCGCTAGTCTCCGAATGATAAAGATCAGAATCATGTGGTGTCTATTTCTGCTACCAGTGTTGGATTTTGACATATATGATGTCCAATTGGATATATAATTTAATGTTTAACACTGTCTGCTAAAGTAATTATGATTCGCAAATCTGCCCTATATGTAAAAAAAAATCATTGGTATCTGAGTGGATCGATAAAAAATTTGCGATAATATCAAAGAGCTCGGAACCTATTCCTTGGAATTACTTTCTTAAGTTTCCAGATAAAAGCACAGCGTCAAGTAAATTAAAAGTTCGCGATCGGAAAATAAGTCACGTTAAGATCGATTATTGACAAGATCAATCTGTGCAACAATCGATTTTTTTCAAGTCGTTCTGTTCTGACTTATCATTACACAATTGTGGTGTTTTCAAAAAAGATAAATTTTTAAAATTCAACGTTACACACTATATACAAAATTCATAAACTGACATTTAACTAATAACTTTCAATTTTAAATTAATTTATTACATATTAATTTTTTTGAATTTTACTGGAAATTCAGAAATCACAATTAATTTTATAAAAGAGATAATAAAATTGTTAAAATCTTATTTGGTTATATATTTAAAGCTTTGATTTAATTGAAAATTTCATGATATTCTGACATAATATCAAATTTATAACAGTGATTCAACCACAGCTCAGTCATTTAAAAATTCCAGAGTCAACCATTCATCCGTTAACTCTGACTCTAATGGCTTGTATTACTAATAGTAAAAATAATATCTCGATATCCAATGATTTGAATTAAATGAATATTAGCTTGTTTATTAAGGCATTAATGTTGTTAACCTTACTTGACCAGTACAGCATCGAGTTCCATTTAATACCTAGAGTTTATTTTGTTGAAAAGGACTAAATGGTGCGTAATACGGATAATATTTGTAAAATTCAGATTATATCTACTGCATTATAGCATTATTCTCATTAGAGATAATATATTCTAATTTAGAGGCATATTTAAAGGTTTTACCTGAGTACAGAGTATAGTCATATTTTCCTAGCCTTCATTATTTGCGATATAGTTTAATTCACATAAATACAAGAATAACAATCATGGATTAGAAGCGAAGCAGTATTATCGTTTGGATGGTGAAGTTCGAATGAACTAACTGCGGAAATTCAGAGACCACAAGAAATTGACGAAATAAATGTCAGAATACAAACAAAAATACATGAAAATATGTTGTAAGTCGAATTATTTAAAATGCCTTGAGCTGTTAAAATTTGTTAATTATGCGAAATTTATACATTTTATCGTGGCCATTTGTTTAATGTATATTTTCATTCAAAGTCTCTGCATAATTTTGTGTATTTTGTGTATTAATATTGTAAAAAAAAATGGACGCCTCGATTTATAAAATTCAATAATTCAGATTGAAAATTGATTTTTCGGAATAAACTTTTTCGATGGATTGAACTATAATAAAACAATTCATTTTAGTACTTACATACAGGTATAATTAATTAATTACCAAAGATGAATATAATTTTTATTGATGGGATTGAATTTTACGTAAAAGGCGCAGCTCAACCGTTACTCGGTAAAATTTTAACCGAATTTCCTTTCTAGAATTCTCGATGTACCCCAAGATATGAGCATCGGTTATTTTATATACAATTTCCCTAATTTATTCTCTTTATAGGTAATAATAAAATTAAGGTGCCAAAATTAGATTAGTGTCTTTTTTAACTACTAAAATATGCATCACTCCGGAATTTTTTTTTTTTTTTTTTTTTTTTAACTTTGTCAAGTGTCAAAAAAGGAAATTTCATATTTATAAATGAAATCATTTTTTATAACGATTAACTAGAATCTTTATTTTTTCTTAGATTAATTTTTGAACAAATCGAAAAATTTCTACCAAAATAAATTTCTTTACATGATTAGATAGATAAATCAAAAAAAAATCAAAAAAAGAAATCGCAATTTTCTTTAAAAACATGTCCACCTCCGAACTACATCCTCCACCAAATCCCTATGTCAATAATAATGATCCAAATGGAGGTATGTTTTTAGTCATGCTATCTTAATAATATAATATACTTATGATCCATCCATTTATTTTAGATGATGTAAACAATATAAACAATATCAACATTCCGATCAATCAAAATAGAAAATCTTATCAAGTTCGTGCATTGGTACGTAAAAAATAACTTTTGACAAAAAGAAAGGAAGGATTTTGATCGCTAATGAGTTCGCTTCCCTTTTGATATTCGTTAGGCTAGAAAAACAGTTTCGTATCAAAAAAGACAAAAGTATACAAATATCTTTTGTATTACACTTTGCCCCATGCTTATGGTGGCTATTGCTGGTATAATGGGTATTGTTATTCAAGGGCTTATCGATAATGCAAATTCACCAGACGGTAAATCATTCTTTTTTTTTATTTTAGTAGATTTACTTTTCCAAACTATTAACAATATTCTCCGATGTGTATCTTCTTTATTTAGAATTCCTCTTATGTTCCCGATTGAATGCAAAAGATAAATTTGGATTTCCATTCGAACAAAATTCAAAAGATTTGCCAACGACACCGGCATCTGAAATACCAAATAGTAGCGGTAAATCCAAGGAAATTAAAAATGTAAATTTCTTTTTACCTCCTGCCGGTGATAGAGCATTTTCTACACCAGGGTCACCACAAGGATGTGTATTTGCATTCGGACATGATTATGAATTTCGTGAGAATCCATATGAGCCAAAACCATTGGTCAAAGATTCTATAAGAAAAGATACAACGTATCAACCAGATCCGGAGTCTGGATGGTTTGGGAAGTCATCTTTGCCATTATCATTCTTTTTAGGTCGATTTCAAACATTCCCGTGGGCTTTTATTAGAGATGCTGATGATGTAGTTTCCGGTACCAAACCCAAACTTGCTCCCGTGTCAAGTGTTGATGAATTTTATCCTGACAATACGTTATTATCGCAGTCTAGCGGTGCGTAATTTAAGTTAAAAATATATTTTACTGATTTTATTTTATTTTTTTTTTAAAAAAAGTGATACAGATCTGAACTTTTTTTTTTACAAAATACAGGATTGCTTGGCCAAATTGATACAAATTATTACGCAAATATTACACTGGGTCTTTTTGGGGTTAAAGTATCCTCATTTCAACCCGTGCCTTTCTTTGATAAAAAACCAGGAACAGTTGAAGATTTCGATAATTTAATATCGGACAGCATAAGAGAAATCATCAATGATCTAGCTTTAGTTGATAAAAATATTTTATTTGATGATGATGTTTCACAGGAAGATTTATTACGTTTTCAGGTTGAAATTTCAAATATTATAACTAAAATGCCTTTCGGAAGTATTTTGTTTGATAAAATTGATCCTCTGCTAAAACAATGGGATTACACTTTACAAATCGGTGATGATATTAGGATTAGTAAAGCTGCTACTTTTCCTAGTCAAGGATTTCGTCGAATGGTCCAACAAAGTCAATTATCTAATGCGTTTATAAAGACCGTGAATCATACGGGTTTAGCTGATGCAATCGAAAATGTAAAAATCACTCCCACTTATAGAATTATGCCATATCTATTATCTACTGCTATTGACATACCTATTGGTACTTTTGTTGGTGACGTTCTTTACCCATTCGGTATTTCATTCCTATTGCCTATCTTCGTGATCACCCTTGTTAAAGAAAAAGAAGAACGTATCTTAGTCATGATGAAAATGAATGGATTGAAAAGTTTCGCTTATTATTTGACTCATTACATTCATTTTTATACGTTACATATCATCACTTCTATTATATTTGTGATAACTGGATTATTATTTCGTATGGAGATTTTCACTAAAACTCAACCATCAGTATATATAATTCTTTTGTTCATTTGGGGTCACGTACAAATCGCGTTGGCGTTCTTATTTGCATGTTTCTTTAGTAAAGGTAGAACCGCTTTAATCGTTACTTTTCTAATGGTGTTATGTGGTGTTCTCGTCAGTTTGGCCACTGCATCATTATTTCGAGGTCGAGAAGGTGCTTCCACAACTTATTTCTTTTGGCCACCATTTGCTTTTTACCGGGCATTATCATTGATTAACATAGCTAGTGTGCAACGTGATAGAAAACCCTATACATTAAGTGATTTAACATGGGGTAATGAAGTATTAAGTGCCATTATCTCCTTGGTGATAGAATATTTCATCATATTATCATTGTCGACTTACTTAACCAAAGTGTTACCGTCAGAATACGGTGTACGTAAACCATGGCACTTTATATTTACCGATTGGTATACTAAAAGGCAAATTAAAAAGAAAATGCAAGAAACCGAACAACAAAAAGATGCTGCACTTGAAAGAGGTTTAATTGTAGGTGAGAAAAAATTCAAAGAAATTGATCAAGATGAAATCATGTTCGAAGATGATGATGTTAAAGAGGAAAGAAGGCGCGTATTAGAGAATAGATGTAACAAAGATTCTCCTTTGATCGTAAAACGTATGAGAAAAGTTTATCCTTCTGGAAAATTAGCCGTTAAAGATGTTACTTTGAGCGTTGATAAAAATTTGATTTTTGGATTACTTGGTCCTAACGGTGCAGGTATGTAAGATTGAGGGAGGTTGAGATTTTGAAAAAGAAAAAATAATTATTTTTTTTTATAACTTGTTTATATATTTGAAATGCTAAGTCATGAATATGCGTTATTCCAGGCAAAACAACTTTAATTTCGATCCTTACCGGTTTGTATGAACCAAGTTCGGGAAGTGCAAAGATTAACGACTATGATTTAGATACACAAATGGGTGATGTATACAGAAGCATCGGAATATGCCCACAGCATGATATCTTGTGGGATGATTTAACGGTTCTTGAACACTGCCTTTTCTATGCTCGTATCAAGGGTATACCGGCCAAGGATGAATTAACCGCAGCTAACCAAGCTTTAAAACAAGTTCGATTGGAAGGTTATGCGGATCGCTTATCCAAGGGTCTTAGTGGTGGTGAAAAACGTCGTCTTTCTATTGCCATTTCATTGATTGGTAATCCCGTCGTTGTATTTTTGGATGAACCTACTACCGGTTTAGATCCTGAAGTGAGAAGATTGATTTGGAATATTGTTAATGAGGCAAAGAAAGGGAGAACTATCGTTTTGACCACCCATAGTATGGAAGAAGCCGAAGTTTTGTGCAACAGAATAGGTATTATGGCAAAGGGAACCCTTAGATGTATCGGACCTCAGTTGAGGTTAAAAGAAGCTTATGGCAGAGGATTCAAATTAAATTTCAGTTGTAAACCTAAAAGTGTCAATATAGCCACGAAGTATGTGTGCATTAACAACTTTTCACCTTGGAAATGATTATATGAGAAATGTATTTTAATTGATTTTTTTTATATATAGATATATTGAATCATTATTACCGCCAACTGCCACAAAATTAGATTCTTTTACTACTAATTTCTCTTATGAATTCGAGCCTCAACCTGGACTTATTGCCAAACTATTTGAAGAAATTGAAAAACATAAAGTAAAGTACGATATTGATGATTGGGGTCTAAGTCAAACCAGGTATGTACAATTAGTTAATCTTTGAGGGATGTTTTGTTTGGTTGGTTAATAATTAAAATAAAATTTTCGTTAGTTTGGAAGAGGTTTTCTTGCGAATAATTGGCGAGGCCGATGCTGAAGCCGATTAATTTGTCATTTCTTTTTCGATTATATAAGAAATAGATTAGATAACTTAATTTAATAATTAATCATGTCTTAATATGTAATTTTAAATAAAAACCTTATTGTCTGTCACGCAAGTGACTTATTAATATATTAATAATTAAATTTTTTTTTTTAAATTAAAATTATTATTTAAATAACAAATTTAAAACCGATATCGCTAATTTTCCCCCCAGACTCTGATTGGCTGGTATATTTAACTATGTTATATGTCACCTAAAAAAATTCTAAGTCCCCCCAGATACTTAATAAAAATTGAAACACTACCGGTGTCACGCCGGTGATAATCACCTAAGCCCTAACCCTAACCCTAACTAATTTCAATTATACCAGCCAATCAGACGTGTCATAGTTTGCTATTAAAATCACGTTATGGATCATGGTTTGAAACATGTGGATTATCTCGATATCTTTTTTGTATTTTATTTGGGATTGAAATCGGTTAATATTTAAAAGCTTAAATAATCGATTCGATTATAACATTTATCTTATTAACCGGGTAAAGATTTTTTTTAACCGTTAAAGATATATGGGAGCTGATCTATTAAAAATGGGTTACGGGAACTTTTTACAAAAAATGAGATTTTTGATTCATATTATGGTATATTATATGAACTTTATTTGGTTAAATTTTTAGAGGCTATTAGCTTATTAATAAAACAAGTAATTTGGCCGGCAAAAATG